GAAGATGAACGAAGGTCTTACGGGTTTGAAACGACATGAGGGTGAGTAATTAATGACATAATTTTTGGGTGAACTAACCCTTTAAGGCTATATTGCATAAAGTACTATATAAATGAACGTGACGTGACTGGACTTCACTGGAGTACGGAACTGTGTGCTCGTGCAAACATCCACATCACTGTAATCGGATGTGTTTTAAACTGCTGCTTTCTCACCGCTGTCAGTTTTTGATGTGTTTATTTTGTTATTGAGATGAAAGAGCACAGTACATATTTACATATTCATCCAAACGCCGCTCAGCAACCTCAGGTTTGAAAGCGTTTACCCAGTCTGAAGCGCTGTCTTCTTCTCTTGAATGGCATCAGGAGGGCTGAATTACAGTCTTGCGCTACAGCGCCACACTGGTCAAACCGCGTTATTGCAGGCTCTTACATTACGTCATATGAGATCAAACGACTACTCGACAACAAAAATATTTGGCGACAATTTTTTATTGTCGACGTTGTCGATAATGTCGACTAATTGTTTCAGCCCTAACATATATATACATAGAAAGTGTGTATCTTGTAATACATATACTGTACATAAACATACATCATGCAAGTATCGGATCAGGACTCGGTATCGGCAGATACTCAATATTTAGACTCGGATCAGATTGGATCAGGGGCACAAAACACCTGATCGGGACATCCCTAACAGTTTGTACAGTATAAAAACCATTACGCCTATGGAGAGTACTTTTTATTTTGTTTTGGAATGTGACTTTTATTTATTTTTTATTTTACCACTCCATTACCACAGTGCCATTACCTGAGCTGAGACACCTGTCTGTGCTTTGATCTGTAATCGTTCCGTACTGAACTGCATCGGACAGGAACCGTTACTCTGCATGCTCAGAACCGCTCGGCCCGATGGGAAAGCAGCTGATGTGATTTGTGTGTTTGTGTCAGAGTCTGGAGGAGACATGGACGTGGTTGTGACGTCAGATAAGGAGGTGAAGGTGGCCGCGGTGCGGGACGCGTTTCAGGAGGTGTTTGGTTTGGCCATGGTGACAGGAGAGGCCGATCAGTCCAACATCGCCCCGCAGCCGCTGGGATACGCCGCAGGGGTCAAGGTGAGCACACCGTGTGGAGAGTCATGACAAGAGCTCTGTGATATGACAGGAAACACTGAACCATGAGACTTCAAACCATACGTGTTCATCAGAAGTGTGTGTGTGTGTGTGTGTGTGTGTGTGTGTGTAGGGAGCTCAGGAGCGCATTGACAGTCTGCGGCGTGCCGCTGTCAAAGTGTGCATATGAAGCAGACTCGCTCCCTCTGTGAAAATCGAGGGGTTGAGGGTCTGTCCATATAAACTTCCCGAAGCGGAACGCACTTCAAAATGGCAGCGGGGATTCCCCCGAGGGGAAGTGCTTAGGGAAGTTTGCGAGTACGTGTCTAAAAGTGGAGTGGAACACAGCCCAGATCACCGGTGATCACCGCGAGATGCATGCCGGTTAGAAAGTGTCCGAGTTACATCCGACTTGCCAAGTTACACGTCATACTGACGTGTGCCAAAAAACTCTCGCGACGGCAAGGCGGCTGTGTTGGATTGCGCAGTCGAGCGCAGTTGCTCTCCACCGACTGCGTTATTTGATTTGGGGCTTGTTTTAAATGTTCAATTTAGTTTTGTTATTTACATTTACATTAAATTTTAATTTTGTTATTTAGCAAACGCTTTTATCCAAAGCCACTAACAAATGAGGACAATAGAAGCAATCATAACCAACAAAAGAGCAATAATTTACAAGTGCTATATTAGTATATTATTATAGTGTTATATATCAATTTCACAAAGAAACCTGCAGAATTTTGTCCAAGCAATAATAAAATTACACATTTATTTATAATTTGTCTTAAATCTCATTTTGTTAAAAAAATTAATAAAATAGTGAATCGAATCGAATCGTGAAATCTAAATCGTGAATCGAATCGAATCGTGAGTTGAGTAAATCGTTTCATCCCTACTATATACTGTTACCAATAAAATGTTATCAACATCAGTAAAAGCCATCTTAAAACTGCAAAGGAGGAGCAGAAGCTGCATCTAACTTGACATGTAAATAGCCTACAAAAAGTTTATAAATTGTGTAAAAAAACAGGAACTCATTAGAGGGTAGGAATGCAATATTATTATTATTGCTCTATTATTGCTCTTGATTTTGTAATAACAGTGATTAATGTTGGTTAATAGAACACGTGTTTCCCCAAAATTGTGTTTGAGGAAGCGGCTACACACACAAAGCAAACTAAGAATCATTTATCAGGTAGTTGATTGCTTTTTACTCATTGCATCTCATTAGACTGCATATTAGTAGCAAGAAAAACAAAATAGTTATTCAAACTGGGAAGGACTTATAAACAGAAAGAGAGTGAAGAGCGTTCCCATCACTGAAGCAGTCGTCACAGAAATCCCGTTATCATCACTGCACAGTTCATCTCTCACATCATATCTGCACCTTGTTGTTTATTTCTTCTGTGTGGAGACGTGCTGAAATCGCGTTTGGTCTCGTACTGTATCGCGTACCTTGTCAGTATTGTGCGCTTTGCTTGGCCATTTGTTGTGATAAACAGGAAAGTGTCCAGCTGAATTCAATTTGAGTTTTGTTAGAGGAATATAAAAAGCTTAGTATACCGCGGCAGCGGTCGCGGCAGCACTCGTGTGAAGACCGAAGAGTGTAAAGACCATCGACTCTACCGTTCGAGTGGATCAAACCAGAGGACAATGCTACACCTGCAGCACTCTCCGATAATTTCTCTTTTTCCCACTCCCTCTGTCTGATTGGAAGAGGTGGAGGTACTGGTCTGCTTATCTCTAATGATTGGAAATTTAATCCTTTACCATCTCTGAGTAGCAACAGCTCCTTTGAATTACATTCAGCCACTATTACCCACCCTCTTAAAATCCATTTTATAGTTGTTTATCGACCCAAGCCCTATCCTCATTTGTAAGTCGCTTTGGATAAAAGCATCTGCTAAATGACTAAATGTAAATGTTTATAATGAGGGAATCTGCATGGGATTCAAGTGTGGGATTCAATCAGTAAAGCAAACATGCCGGGAAGAGCTTCATGTAGAGCTCTGAAGACACTCGTGAGAGAGTTGTGCTTCCTTTTCTCATGATAGGAGAAACTGAGCAGCCTTGTTCACGCTCTCTCGTCAGGTGGTTTGACATCGGCTGTCTGATCCTGGATGATCCAGGGAACGGGATTCACCTGGAGACGTTCACTCAGGCCACACCTGTGGCCCTGGAGCATGTGCAGCAGGTAACACTGCATCCTTCTGAGGAGCTGTTCAGAGTGATGCAGTGAGTGCATTTTCTCCCTTAGTTCGGTTTGCTTAGGCACATGTGAACATGGCAAACACTCTGATCTGCACCAAAATAATCTCCTGAACATGAGCTCTGGAGCAGTTCGGTTGTGGTGAGAAATCAGCAGCAAGGTATTCTTGGAGCTCTTTGGAGGTGCCCTGCAGTTGCCTCTGAGATTTTTTGTCTGAATAACATCACATTATCCAGCTTTCTCGAGAGACTGACTGGCATATTACTACAATCTTTTAAGGAATATGTGGCTGCATGGAAGTCCAATGGCACAGCAGAGATGTTCAAGAACTCGTGTCTTATTATCAATGGAAAAGTCAGATCACAGTCCCTCATGATCAGGGCCGCATTAAAGAGGTGTGTGAACTTGCAAGTACGATGTCAGACACTGTAATATGCTCTGGTCCCCTCCCTGCTTACCGTGGTGATGAGATACACAGCAGACTCTCGTCACTCAATGGCTGGATGTCTAAGTGGTGCCCGCAGAATAACAACACATGTATCAATGAGTTTTTGGGGCAGACCTGACCTGTTGAAAAGAGATGGTCTTCATCCCTCCTGGGGTGGTGCCGCTCTTCTCTAGAAATATGGCACATAGTCTTAGAGTTTGTACTTGACTAACTGGGGCCCAGGTCAGGAAGCAGACAGACTGGCTAAACCGACCGTCTGCTAGCCGCCTCATGTAACAGAAAATCAGTTAATTCTCAGCACATAGAAACTCTTTCACCTAGATATCACACAATAGAGATTGTGTCTGTTCCCCGAACTAGAAAATACAAAAACCGTCCAAACCAATTTAAGAGTAACAATTTAATTGATGTTCAACAAATAAAAAAACTGATGTAATACGGATAAACAAATGATAAAGCTTGGCTTACTGAATATCAGGTCCCTTTCTACGAAAGTGCTTTTTGTAGATAATATGATCACTGATCATAACCTAGATGTGCTCAGTTTGACAGAAACCTGACTAAAACCTGATGATTACATTATTTTAAACGAGTCTACCCCCCATTACTGTTATAAACATGAGACACGTCCAAAAGGTAAAGGGGGAGGAGTTGCTTCAATTTATAACAATGTTTTCAGTATTTCTCAGAGGGTGGGCTTCAAGTATAACTCGTTTGAAGTAATGGTGCTTCATATAACATTATCCAGAGAAGCACGTTAATGATAAATCCCGTGATGTTTGTACTGGCTACTGTATACAGGCCACCAGGGCACCATACAGACTTTATTAAACAATGTGCTGATTTTATATCTGAGTTAGTGCTGGCTGCAGATAAAGTTTTAATTGTTGGTGATTTTAATATTCATGTTGATAATGAAAAAGATGAATTGGAATCAGCATTCATAGATATTCTGAACTCTATTGGGGTTAGACAACACGTAACTGATGTAATACGGATAAACAAATGATAAAGCTTGGCTTACTGAATATCAGGTCCCTTTCTACGAAAGTGCTTTTTGTAGATAATATGATCACTGATCATAACCTAGATGTGCTCAGTTTGACAGAAACCTGACTAAAACCTGATGATTACATTATTTTAAACGAGTCTACCCCCCATTACTGTTATAAACATGAGACACGTCCAAAAGGTAAAGGGGGAGGAGTTGCTTCAATTTATAACAATGTTTTCAGTATTTCTCAGAGGGTGGGCTTCAAGTATAACTCGTTTGAAGTAATGGTGCTTCATATAACATTATCCAGAGAAACAAGTGTTAAAACTGCTGGTTTGTCTGGCCAGAGGAGAACTGGCCCCCGACTAAGCCTGGTTTCTCCCAAGGTTTTTTCTCCATTCTGTCACCGATGGAGTTTTGGTTCCTTGCCGCTGTCGCCTCTGGCTTGCTTAGTTGGGGACACTTCATTTCCAGCGATATCGTTGACTTGATTGCACAGCCACTATTTAAACTGAACTGAGCTGGATGATGACATCACTGAATTCAACGATGAACTGTCTTTAACTGAAAAATGAGTGTTTACTTTTATCATTTTGCATTATTGACACTATATTTTCCTAATTAATGCTGTACAGTTGCTTTGACACAATCTGTATTGTTAAAAGCGCTATATAAATAAAGGTGACTTGACTTGACTTGACATAATTACATTACATTTGAAATGAATTATTTAATCTATAAAAATATGTGGGCAATACATTATAAAGAGAATTCGAAATTTGTACATTTGTAAACTGCACACTTGTAAATAACATCTGACATTAATTTAAACAATTAAATTTTTTCTACACTTCTACATCTGTATATAATGCACTATTTTCTGTTTTCCTATGTTAGTGTTATATTCCATCTCTAATGTGTTATTCCTATGTCTGCACTATCATGTATGTTTGCACTGTCTGTACTTCCTTCTGCACTGGAAGCTCCTGTCGTCAAGTCAGATTCCTTGTGTTTGTAAACATACTTGGTAATAAAGCTCTTTCTGACATGTATTTTCTATGTATGATGTGTATATTTAAAAGTGTATGAAAGATGGTTTCAATTGTACTACAAGTTGTAGAAGATTTTCAGGGATCTTAATTCAATATAATACATATAATTATGCCTATAGAGAAGATGACATTATTCTACAATTATTATTTAAAGAGACTATGTGTAGTAACTGTGGGTTAAAAGCTGCAGTGAAAGAACTGAGTGAACTATTTAAAACTTGAAGACCCTGCATATATGGAAAGAATCTGTTCAGGACCTAGAAATATACATGACAGCTATTGATCATTCTATATATGGTAAGAAACACCTGTCTAAAAATACAACAATACATATATGGAATTATGTAACCAGCTCCAGGCATATATATATCTGTGTAGAAAAGACATTCGGGAGTTACCTTTGCAAACCGTAACTCGGCTATGTTGTTTGATCAATAAAGTCTACTGGCTTCAAAACCTCTTTAGCAATTTATTTTGAACAAGGAAA